AAATGTTCCCTTAAATGATGAGTTTACTCAATTAAAGGTTTATTCATTTCATTTTATCTTACCTATATAATCATATTCCTAATAAACATTAAATTTGCTTATATAATTTTAAATTAATTATATTAATAAATAATATTAATATAAATATTTATTATTAGATAAAAAATAAAATTACTTCTATAAGTGTTATAAAAAAAATGACATTATACGACAATAAGTTTTTGAATAAATTAATATTTGAGTATTATGAAGAAACCAAAATATGTAATATTATTATTTTTTCTTTATTAAACAATAAATATATATGTTAAAATATTATTTTTATTAATATAAACGGGTCAGGGGGCTAATATATTGTTAAAATAAAGTTTTGATTTTTTTTTTAAAATACGAAACCCCGTGCATCGCACGAGATTCTCACTAATAATATATTAAAAGAGAGAAAAATGTGGCAAATTTAGCGAAAAAGAGACTAACATAATTAAAATTAAACAATTAATATTTTTGTCAACACTCAACACATAATTTAGTAAGTGAACTGATAAATAAATTTGGCAAAATAGATTATTTTTTAAAAAAATTAATCCAAAAATCAAAGATAACTATTCGAAACAAGTCTTTAGCGGCTAGGCTAGACAACTCATACATATACAAGCCCATAATGAAGTTGTAACTAACATTGCTTAAATAGTTAGTTATTAGTAAAACACAAAACTGAAAAACATGAAATGGGGCCTTAATGATTCAATGGGCCTTTAATGCTTTGGTGCCCCTCAAAATCTGTAGGCCCTCGGTGGGCCCTCGGCGGTCGCCCTGCTGGTCCTGCCCTAGGGCCACCCTGGGCGGTCGCCCTGCTGGTCCTGCCTTAGGGCCGGCCCTAGCGAGCGCTTGAGTCAACGTTCGACTCGAGCTCGAGTTTGACGAACTCGACTCGAGCTCAACCGGCTTGAGCACGAATTCGAGTCGAGCTCGAGTCTATATTTTGCATTGTCGAGCGTTTTGTCGAACAACTCGAGACATATGTTAATTACTAAAATACACTTATATATCACATTATAATATCGGTTTTTAATGATAATTTTACTTTTTCACTTAAAAATTTTATAGTCGAATTCGAGCATCTTGATTTCGAGTCGAGCTCGAGCATCATATACCGAACTCAACGAGGAACTTAAATAAAAAAAAAAAACAATTTTACTCAATAAAGTCAATGCTCGAATCGACTCAGCTCAGCTCGGTTCGGCTCGTTTGTAGTGCTACCTGTGAGTGCCTAATTCATTTATTCATGGTTCTGACGCAGGTCATGTGGGTGGGGTTTTGGGGGTCATAAAAGTAAGTAAATTTTTGAAGGCAAAGTTAGACTGATCATCAAAGTTTTCCACTCAAAACAAAATAATATTGCACAAATATTGATACCAGGATAGAATAAAATAATATTACTTGTGCTTGTGCACCACCAAAAGCACTTATGGCAACCCTGGAACAGTTGGTAGATTAGATTTAGATCTCTGCCAATTTCACTGTGGGCCAAATTTCTACTGATATTTCAATCTCTACCCTCTTCACATTACCTCTTTCAAATTATGACTACATATATGCACTGCATATGGATATCTCTATGTGATAAATAAATGCTGAGGACTTAGATTGTTATTTGTACAATAAATTTTCACTATGTAGCAATATTGATTCCATAGTATCTTAATCTTGTGAAATTATTATGATTCCATAAATTCTAAATTGCCCGAGGAAGCTCAAGCGTCTAAATTCAATGCACCGTACATTTTATTAAAATATAATACCACTTGTGCATTGTTCTATATAGTTTATACAGGGAAAATAGACTTAACTTATAAGCCTAGTCGGCTACCCCTCTCATCAACAAATTGGTTTTGAGATTGGAATCTAACTTGGACTTCACTTGGGCTTTCCCTGTTATGGTGCGTTCCATCTGTGTGGGACTCCACCTGTTCTACTCCCGATTCTTATATGATATTAGAGTCAGTTCTACGTGGGATCGTGCGATGATGTACCCGTTTACCCAACTCAGTTGGGCTTGGGTCACCCAAACCGGTCCGGCTTGGAGCTCGTATGAAGGACTCACAAGTAGGGGGACGTATTAGAATATAATGCCTTGTGAGTTGTTCGACATCGTTTATATAGTGAAAATAGATAGACCTAACTTATAAGCCTAGTGAGCTACGCCTCCCATCAAACAATTGGTTTTAGGAGAGAACCTCGCTTCAACTTCATCTAGGTTTTCTCTGTCATGATGCATTTCATCTGTGTGGGACCGCATCCGTTCTACTCCGATTCTTACACATTTTAAACAAAAAAAAAAATATACTTATTCTATTTAATGTCATATTTTTGTTTGTATTATTTGTAAATTATGATTTTTCATAAATATACACCTATTTTAAGTTAGGTCGGACTAATAGAAGACTTATCGATAAGTGATAAACTTAGCAATTTGTTTATTAAATCACCCTTAATTAGTGAAAAAAAATGGACTAGTCTAGGTATTTAATAATCGCGCATGTGTTTGATTAATTTAATGAAGTCTTAATTAATGACCCTAATGCAGACAGTTTAGTTTCGTGTCACTTCATACGCATCCTGATCTTTCCCAAAATGGCTACTATTAATAAAAGAAATCCATGATTATGCTCGTGTTTTTTGACTTAATTAACTAAAAATAGAAAGTTGCTTAATATAATCCTTTCCTTAATTAGTAACCCCAAATGGAGACAGTTTAATTTTGTGCCACTAAGCAATAGTATCTGCATATATGATAGTTATATTAATAATGTCTATTGTTGTGGGATATTTTTCCTATGATGGCCCATATATATGACTAATTTGTTTTTAATCAATTTGTTTTTAAACAATTATCATCATGCACTAGAATATATATATAGAGATATTCTGACATTTCCCACATATAAAGATTGCTCAATCAAAATAAAATAAAAGAATAAAAAAATTACAACTTGATTTTTATTTTATTTTTTTCAACGAAAGAAAAAAGAAAAAGTTCACCAACTTTATAATAATTTTACATTATTATTATTACATTACATTATATACAATAGAAAAAGACAATAGCATGATGTATAACTATAGATACACATATCATTAATATAATATTTTTAATAATAATCTTATCAAGTAATCTTATCAAAGTACATAAGAATACAAAAAAATAAATTAATATAAATAAATATTTATGTAAATAAATAAATATATTAATTGAACCACTTGTAGTGTGTGTATATATATAATTCTCAGTGTAATTCAACCTTACCCATTCCTCTGTTCACAAGTTTATTTTTCTCAGGCAGTCGGGCTTTTCCCAAAACAGAAAGTTGTTACTATTTTTATTTTTTTTTTTTATTTTTTTTTTAAATTCTGATAAGCAATTTAATTTAATTATTATCATAATATTAACATATTACACAAAATATATTTTTATAAAGAGAGGAGAAGAAGGCATATTCATGGACATGGATTTGATGAAGTCGGTGAACGAGGAGCAGATGGAAATGATGCTGATGCAGATGGAGAAGCTGCCGGAGTTCGACGAAAGTCCGATCATGGAATTCGGGAACAATATTCCGACCAACAACAACAATTCAGGCATGGAGAATCTCCAGATCTCTTCTCCTCCGCTGTACTCGTTCTCCGGCGAGGCGGGGGAGCGGCGGAACTCTATGGCGGCTATGCGGGAGATGATATTCCGAATAGCCGCGATGCAGCCGATCCACATAGACCCTGAGGCGGTGAAGCCTCCCAAAAGAAGGAACGTGAGGATTTCTACAGACCCACAGAGCGTGGCCGCCCGCCACCGCCGGGAGAGGATCAGCGAGCGGATAAGGATCCTCCAGAGGCTCGTCCCCGGCGGGACCAAGATGGACACGGCCTCCATGCTCGACGAGGCCATCCACTATGTCAAGTTCCTCAAGAATCAAGTGCAGTCCCTCGAGAGGGTCGCCGCCGCCAGGCCCCCGCCGCCGGGGGTGGGCTTCCCCGTGCCGATGTCCAGCGGAAGTTATTTTCCGGCCGGTGGGAGGACGGGCTTCCTCCATCATAATCATCGTCAACACCCTCACCAGGCGGCGCCGTACCAGGATGCGCACCAGATGCTTGATTAAATGTCTGAAAGAGATAGATTTGACATTTAAGGCCAATTAATTTGGGGAGTAGTTTGTTCAAATGATTAGTGGTCTTTTTTTTATTTTTTATTTTTCTTAATTTGTAGTATTAAAAGAAAGAAATTACCGTTTATGAAAAAGAGAGACAGTGATTAAGAATTGTGAGGGTTTGGCTATGGCTATTGCTTGTGTAAAGAAAACCCAAGAGTCTCTCGTTATCATTGCCAAATTATGAGGCTGCATGTGTAATTTCTCCTTCTGATTGATGATAATAAAATCTTGGCATGTACAACTTGTATTGTAGTATGTTTTAATATTAATCTCCCTTATAATTATTACATTATTATTTTTATTATTTTCATTTGTATCTTATTGTACATTTCATGCATAAACAAAATATATTTTGTCATGTATCAAATAAAAAATAAAATTATGAAGGCTTCTCGCTTAGGTCGCTTCCTAGACCGTCTAAAATCATTCAAGGCATGACTAACTTCATAACCGTCTGAACCGCCTAAGCAACACCTTATTGCTCGAGCACCCTAGAAGGCCCACCGAGACGAAAATATGGGTGCTCGAGTGCCGTCTAGTGTCTAAGCGCACATGAGGCACTATGGGGGCGCCGCAGCGCAGCTAGGATTGATCCTTCCTAAGAACAAAAATAGGACGGTTTAATTAAATGGAAGAGTCATAATTTTCCGTGCTTGATATATCTTTAAGTAGAAAGGAATCGACACTGAATATGATGCCGGCCCGGTTATATTAGCAACCCCTCCCCATGCCCATGTGCTTAATAACTATCTCTACCGCAACTTTTGTCTTTGTAAGATAAGAAAAAATATCGCGAGACGAGACGACCAAGTGTGGAAGACAAGTGCAATAAAGAGATTAGAATTGGGACCAGTCAGTGTAACAAAAACTTGGTTAGGGGGATGGAATGCCCCAATTGCCCCACGGCCGAAGGTCAACTGGCAACAACACATGCACCTTAAACTGCTCACTTGTAGGTCCAGTTAAAATTTGCACTTGCACTTGGTTCATTGGACCAAATATAATGGCTCTGCTTCTTGGGCTAAGAAATAGGAATCCTTTTCAGGATTTTGATAGTTCGGACGATTACCAATTTTAGTAATACCAAATAAGAGTACTATGTGTTAAGATATTTTTAGCATACATAAGTCTCTTGTCACTGAGGTTTTTTTTTTTTTCGAAACGATATAATTCATAGAAAAAACAAACACATAATTACAACCGGCTCACTAGTCGAATAAGGGAGGACTACACCCACAGGTAGCCTAGCTAGACCTAACACACAACAAAACCACAAAAACTAAAAAAACCCCACTAATGAGTTAAAATTGCATATTATTCTCTTCTTTCATTTATATCCATATCTATATATACATATACTCGAAAGAGGTTGTTGAAATAATCTAAAGTAGTACCTTTGACTTTGTAATTAAATTGGTTGACTTACTGTTTAAGGAAATATAATAAAATATACTTTAATATATTTGAAAAAATATATCATATTATACTTACCAGTTGTAAAATGTGCAATTGGGTTAATAGCATGACTGTCTATATAAATAAAGCGATATCGAAATTGAACATTATTTTGTGATAATTATCACAATAAAATTCGATTCTTGATATTAATTACAGCTAAACTGCAGTGGTTTATTCTTTTAGTAATCAATCATGAACAGTGATTTTCTATATGTCTTTTGCAAAAACGACCTATTAAATAAATATATTATTTGAATATGCATGATAAAATCGCAAATATAATTACAAAATAAAAATTGAAATCAACTATGTCGCTTGAAATGCAAATTATTAGTATAGTAAGAAAAATATAAATATTTTTGATATATATTGTTACAAATTATGATGACAAACGAATCATCTGTCGAACTATCCATGTAAATTATTACCTTAAAAAAAATTGTAATGTATATTGGTAAAAATTATAATAATAAACTAACAAGTGATCTATATGACAATGATTTAAATTGTTAGCTTAGAAAAAAAAATATATTTCTAATATATATTGTTATTAATTATAATGATAAATAAGTCGGTATGGAATTGTCCTATGAATTTATCATGTCAGAAAGAAAAATATAAATACTTACAATATACATCATTGTAAATTATAAAATAAAATAATATTAAATTAATTAAAAATTATTAAATATTTTAAATTCAAACTAATATATATTAAAGTTTTTTTTAAATTAATTATGAGATACAATATTTGCCACAATTATTTAATTCTAGCATCAAATATTTTGAAATTTAAATATTGTAATAACGTATGAGTAAGAAAATATAGAGGGAGACGCATTTTATATGTATTATCTATTGATAATATTTGAATATGTCATAAATAATATTTGAATATGTTATGTTGTCATTATTTTATTTCCAAACCGGAAATTTAAATCACTGCTATTTTATAACGGGTAAGATAAATATATAAATCATATGTTAAATTATTTTATACTATAAAATAAAATAAAAAATATTAATATTTAAAATATTTTTTATACTAATCAATATTCTTTCATAGTTTTGATATATGCAGATAATTATTATCTCGTGCATCACAAGGGCTACGTACTAGTATTTTAGAAGGAAATCTTTAATTAAAAAAAATTAATTTGTGGGTTATTTAATCTTAGTTGATATTAGACGAACTCCGTTATCAATTGTGTGTGTATTTTTTACTTTCTCGTTTGTTATTTATATGTGTTGCTTATTTTTGTTAGTAGTAGTATTTGCCATTATTTGTTATGGGGGTTATCGTGATATCCCAACAAGTGGCAATAGAGCCGAAGGTTTGTCCTGGGCACTTCTACTTGTTTTTCATTGTCAACCCAAATGTCTCTTGGTTTTTCACTAGTTTCAGAGTGGTTGCATTGGCATAGGAGGATTCTTCCTTTTCAGGAGGAGATTTCTCCATCATAGGTAGGGTAAAACCAGTTTCGATGATTTGCCATGTGCCTCACCCTAAAGATTGTACAAAAACCATCATTATGGATTTCGATACGAATACTTGGATCCATCAAGATACGGAGGACGCGAAATCGATAATCCATCGTGGTTCATGGTGCCCGACTCAAAAGATCTTAGATATTTATCCTGTGATCAGAACATGAGCACTGCTTTCGTGCCAATTGAAACGGATATTGGGAGTAAAATTGAGTAAGCAATAGTGTTCGAACACTAAAGTAAAAGTGGAAGCAATTAACTTTAAAAACTCTCCGTGGAGCGTCTCACTAACCCTCATAGCACTTTCATTAATAGCTTGCTTTGAGTGCACAAAGTACAATTTGGACTTACAAGACTCGAACTCCCTTCCAGTCTAGCCAACACTATACCGGAACCTATTAAGTAATCCTCTGGCCACAACCTTGTGGACTTCAAACTAGCTAAGAATTACTCCCAGTTATCTTAGTATTTAATCACTAGGTACGAAAAGTGTTTGACAATGAAGCGCAGCTTGGTGGTAAGACGCTTCACCTATAATCGAGAGCGCATGGGTTCGAGTCACCGAAGAGGGGAAGTGGGAACACTATTGATCCTCCTTTAATAGATAAAAAAAAAGTATGAAAATTGTTTATAGAAAAGGAAAACAAAACACAGTTCTTCAGCGCTGTAAGAATACTGAAAAACTGTTTACAAAAGAACTCAAGCACTAAAAAAAGTCTTCAAAAAATGATAAACTCCGATATGTACAACAATCTTCAATTGAGTATTTGAGACAATATATATACAATCTCTTCAAAGCAAAGAGTCCTCAAGTGTCTTTCCTTTTGGAGTGGATCTCCTTGCTTCTTTAAAGTTCCAACTAAGGTCAAAATCTTCATAATTTGAAGCTGATATATTCTTGCTCCTTTATGCCTCGATCAGCTTCCTCTTCATTTGAATCCAAGATCTCCTACAGAATAGGAACACGTATTATAAAAACTCACCATATTAAACAAAATAGAATCTGAGTATAAACAAAAGAAAGTGAGAAAGAGAATGTAGATCTTCCCTCTTTATTTTCCTTGTTTGCCTAGAACATCAAGATGTCATTTTCGAAACTTCTCACCGTAATAAAATTTTATAGAACAAAACCCATTGAATTGTATTGCCACATACATCAGAGAAAAAATAACACAACACACTATCCCAGTCATTTATATCTCATCCAGAGACCAGATGCGGTTATTATGACCAAACCATTTGTCGATCCTTCATTTTCAATCTTTTCTTTCAAAATGAACTTGAAAAACATTCATGTTCATCTTTGACGGGATAATATATTAGGTAAAAATGCATTTAATGTGTGTAACAACTTTATAATTAGACCAACAATTTTACATATTGCATTTTACATTATTGACCCAATAAAAAATGGCTCTCCATGTACAATATTTTTACTTTGCACATTTATTCAATAATACAGAAAATTAATCCAGATGCTTTTCTCTATTTCTTGTTCTTCGATTTTGATCTTGACAATTACTAATTATTCAGAATTTTGAAAATAAAGCAATTTAAAGTGGTACACCAAATGGAATAAGACGTACCAAATGGAATAAGACGTGTCATAATAATGTACGACGCTTGCCAACGCAAAAGAAAACTGTCCAACATTGACTGACATTCCAGAAATAGCATGTGAACTAGGTTTTCATATTTAAGGAAAAATGGAAAAAAAAAAATCAATTGAATCGAAATTTAAGTATTCAACCAACCCAGCACAAAAGGACAAATAACCAAATCCTTCGAAACGTGTTGAGTTTAGGTGACAGATTCTCACGCTTCGAATGCTGACATAGAGAAAATCTATACTTCGTGATGTTGTTTTTATATTATTTTTGTTCTGAAGTTAAATTTTTTTGGTACAGGGACCTTTCGGTTTCTGGATCCACATGGGAACCGACTAATCTGGAATCGAGCCGGGTAGGACCACAAGGGCGGCAAAGCTCTCCCTCAAGAGTTTT